TATGATCCCTGTACCGTACCAATGTCACAATAGTTCAAAACACCACTTGGCCCCAGGCCTATGGCAGAAAAATAGTTGTGAAGGGAGGATCTCATCACGGGTTGACCCATGTATCATTCGATAGCAGTTTTCACGGGGAACCTAACTATGTACAACTTAACTGCAAAAAGGCCAAGAAAAAGGGAAACAATTTTATGATTCGGGCCTGACGAGGTTCGAAGTTTGGGGTCACGCCTAGAGAGTAATTTTGTTGGCTACGATATCAGAGTGCCTCGACGCCACCTCCTCAGATCTCGGGGAGAAATCTCTCCAAACATTAGAAAATGTCAAAAGAAAATCGACTCCATTCCTTTGCCGTAAATTGATGTCATGTTCTCAGTGGAACCTGCAAGGAGGAGTGTTGAGTGCAGAGAGTGTAGATGCAGTCATCTGCAGCCTCCACATTAGAAAGGAACGATGGAGACTGAATGAAATCGATCAATCATTTTCACATTGTACTGAGTAAAGTCGACTACGTGGCATGCTCCAAAGCGAATTCTGAACACTTCACCTTAAGGGATCAATCAGCCACTACAAGCACTAGAGCGTGCGCCCCGTTTACATGTAGTTCATTTTCAGATGGAACTCAAGTGCAATCCAAAACGAAGCATTTTCAACACTTCAGGGTATCAACTTATAGAGCTCGACGAGTTGAGCTCAACGGCGTCTTAAGCTCCTGGATTACTCCACTCTCAACCGATTCATTCGTAATAGCCAAAATGGTGGCATTATGACAAAAACGTTAAGATAGCTTGCGATTGATCGACGAAAGTTCAAATAATCCTCGGTACTGGTAGAGCAACTCCATCAGTAATGTGGAATGGTCGCTCAACTAGTTAAATCTTGATCGTCATGGTGACCGTTACTGTAAGCATGCTTGTCAAGTATGCATCCATGAAGAGGTTTTGAAATATAAGTGTAGCACGTAGTTGTATGTGGTGTAAGATCATTAGCGGATTTATTTCAATTTCTCTGTTTAGATGCTCGCAGGAAACGGCACCTCAAGAGCCGGATCTGAAAGGAATAATGGGATAATCAAAAGATGAATCGTAATGGGTGAAGCAGACGTTAAGAAACAGGAACAGTGGCAGGTAAAATTGTATTCAAGAGGTGGAGTTGTTTGGTTTTGATAATATTTCTCTCTGATTACCGCAACGTGACAGTTACACCGAAAAATCCCGAAAGCGAGCCCAGCTCTGATAGGAAGATCAGTAAGGCATTCTTCTAGGATGTGTTTTCATAAGTTCTCTGAGAATTTATTCTGTAGAACCTTGTTACTGTTTTCTACTGAGATTGACAGCCCTCGAAAAGAACGTCAGTGTTCTATGTACGTAAGTGCACATATCAGTGAAGATCTGGTCCAGAAAGTGATGTCTCCGTCATCTCCTTCCGACCATATAGTTATTCGGCTGATAAGCGCTGATAATTCTTATGTAACCGCTTTTGCCTATCGACAACGCATGGCTAATCAGCTACTTATTTTCAGCTTATAGTATTCTATTCCTATATTTTTCGAGATGAATGTTCGTGCAAATTTTTTGAAACCCACGAAAAAAAATTGTGATTGGTAGGATTTCGCTGCGCAGAATCATTTTGAGCGACAGGGAAAGGTGCGTTGTTAAGTCAGGTCGTATATATGCTGTGCACCGCTAGCGGCACCACTGTAGCAGTGTTACGAGCGACCTTTCACCCGTTCTCTTGCGCAAAAGTGAGATTTGGTACTTTGAGTAAAAAAATCAGAAGCCCCCCTCCCCCACGTTTCTTCCTCTGCCACTATTGGCAAAGCTCTCCCTTTCTTTGATCAATTACTTCCATCCCCTGGTGGATTTATTTAAGTAGCCGAAGGTCACTTTAATTTGTTTTTCTGAACGCAGTGCATTTTACTCAGGCAGATATCACACTTTCGCATAATAGGATTTCACTAAAGAAAACTACCACGTCGACGATGATCACGCTTCGCCGATGGGAATGGTGTACGATGTCGATGGCGGTTATCTGTTTGGTGATTTCGATCGTCACGTGGGTCGTTTTCCCAGCAACCTATGCCGGGCAAGTAATAAAGGTAAGGAGAGCGCTCCGTTGAACTTTGTCACTTTGCGCGCACTTTTTATTTGGCTGATGCGCAGACTTGGGCAACTGAATGCGTAGGTGCTGTCCATCAGTGAGCGTTCAAANCACGTGTACCATTTCTGAAGTCAAGTATGTGAACACGCAGAGTGTTCACGTAGAAAACGCCGAACCTGGGAACTACAGCGAATGATCATTGGAGACTCTGCTGTAGCGAGAGCAGCACTCAAGCACGTTCTCTCTGATTTGCAGGAATTCGAGTATCGAAGACGAGTAATAAAATTCAGGCATTTCAGGCTCGAATATAGGCTCTTTTTACATGTGAAGGCGTACGACATTAGCTTAACATTTGCAGAACCTGCAGTTGGTTCAACATCGCGACCAGAGTCTCAGCTACTCCGCGTTCATGATGGCCAATCCACCGATTAAGAACGTGATGCGTTTCTACTTCTTCAACGTTACTAATCCAGATGAGATGATCTACTACGGGGAAAAACCGCGTCTAGTTGAATCGCAGTCCTATGCAGTGATGTAAGGGATCGTTTTTTCTCTTTTTATCCATGTGCTTTCTCCGATTAGGGTACGCCTTTACTGCTACTTCATACGCAAACTTTCATCACTTCGAAAGATTGGAATTTGCAGTAAATAAAGAAAGAAACCATCGGGCATTAATCATTCCCATATGAGGGATGCGCCCCCGCATCCGACTTCCATTGAAATCGCGGTGGCGTATTGAATGGGTATGTGGCCGATACGGTGACTGGCGGTTACCAGTCGATGTATTGGGTTGTAACATAAGTTCGTAGAGTTTTTTCACAAAGATTTATCTGAACCAAAAAACAATAATTATAATAATAAATTAACCAATGATGTATCCTCCGTTACTGTTCACGACCTCTTCCCATCTCTCGACCAATTTGTTGATGGCGATTCGCCGAAAATCGGCCGTTGTGGTGTTGAAGAATTTGTTGAGCCAGTTTTCAAGGTCCCCTTCACCATCGAAGGTAACACCCCTCATTGGGTTCAACATAGAGCGGAAAAGGTGTTAGGTGCAGGTGCAAGATCCGGAGAGTGCGCTGGATGCTGAAGAACCCCCCATTGAAGCTCTTGGAGTGCTGTTTTGACGACTTGAGCAATACGGGGCCTGGTGTTGTCGTGGAGCAAGATGACTTGATCACCTCTATGAGGTCTTTTCAGCCGAATAGCCTCACTTACACTGTTCAGCTGGGTAATGTAGACCTCCTTGTTGACAGTGGCGTTTCGTTCGAGCAGTTTCCCAGTGCACCATGTCTACCCAGTCCCACCAAACGCAGATCATGACCTTTTTTTTGGGTGAAGATCTTGCTTGACTCTCGGCTTTGGCGCTTTCCCTGGGGCCACCCACACCTTTCAGTAGACACACCTTAAACACCTTCCCCGTACACACTGCATATGTCCCGAGCGGTTTCGGCTGCTTTTTTGACCTCGACGAGAAGCATAGAAAAGCAGATGTCGAAAATGCTAAATTTTTCTTCCTGGATATTCCATTTCTGAGCCCAAAAAAAGACGAACAATTTAATTATCCTAAAAACGACTGAAACAGTTTTGTAGAGGAGAAAGAACTCTTTCAAATGAATGTATACACTTTGCTAAAAAACAAAATAACTCGTTGTAAAATAACTCTAACGCAAAACTCTACGAACTTATGTTACAACCCAATACAAGTCGGTACTTTTATCGTCCCACATGAGTGTTGTACTTCATCGCTTGTGATGGTACTTTGCTTCAATGGCGTTTGTTTTTTTTTCTCGAGATCGGTTGCCACTGCTATCTACGACTCATAAAAAAAGTGTGGCCAAAGCGCTTCGATTCTTTATCAGTAGATTGCTCGCTATACGTAACCACTGCAAGAAAGAACTGAACGAAATCCGCTCGCTAATCTCATCAGAAGTATTTGATTCTCATTCGTCATAGCTAAAAAGTGTGTCACGATTATCCTACTTGCTGTGCAACCAGAAAAGTGCTCAATAGCGAACAAATACTGCACATGAACAAGCCAAAAATGTGCGAGTGGTGCTTTTCCCGAACTTACTCAACTGGAGGAGAAAGGGGAGAGTTTGCTGTTGTCTCATGTTTTGCAAGACCAATCCTGTTCATAGTCAAGCGTACAATGTCCCTCGCTTTGAGTTTACTTGAAGCGACCCAGCTCCACTGCAGAGATAGGGTTCTTTTAGCAACCTCGAAAATTGTCATTATTACAACCCGCTCTGTCTCCCGAACTTTGAAAGTGTTAATGGAATGAGCTGCTTTATAGAGCTAGAATTCAGTTGGGATTATGTTTTCCAAAAGTTATACACTTGCATTCTAAGAGCTCCCTTTTTGGGTTTCTATCCTACTATATATAACGGGCTAATCTATGCGTTTGTGTGGATTTGTCTGTGTTTGTGTGTGTGTGTGTGTGTGTGTGTGTGTGTGTGTGTGTGTGTGTGTGTG